AAGTTAAGACCTTATTGCTGGAACAGATAGAGGCATTTTTACCTGTCAACAGTGCCAAAAGATAGAAAAGGGAAAGGAGCGTTAATCATTGCTGGGTGTGAGGTGTCAAAGCCCTGACAAGAAAAAGTATTGGCGCTCGAGCAGTAAGAAGAATACTGGCAACAGTACAGGTTTGAAAAGGAAGTTTCATTAGATAGATAGAATGCTGCAGAAGGATGCAGCAGGGCACTTCAGCAAGAGAGGACTGAGCTCGCCACAGTGGAGTTTTCCTTAGGAGTATTTATAGACCTTTGAGCAGGAGCTTAAGGGTAATTTGGACCATATTAGCCATGTAGGTAATGATAAATGATCATATTTGTAGACATTTTGGTGCCTTGATGTTAGCAAGGGTTGCACAATGAGTTTTGACATGCATGCATTTGGAAATGTGTAGAAATTCTGGTTACTTACAAATTTGGGGAAAGAAGCCTGGTATCAGATGCCAGGTTTTGATATTGGGGAAGTCTAATTACTTCTAAATTCCTCAGGTAAGGAGTTTTGCCTAGAGATGGTCTGCTTGATGGCCACCAGGTGATCTTTGCTCTTCTCATTTTCCCCCGGCAGATATTTTGGTCAAATCTTTGACCCTTTCTATTCCCCCATGACCCTGTGTACCTGCTGCCTATTATGGCTTCAAGAAAGGGAAAATGGCACAGTGAAGAGGGGTGTCAGGTCTGTCTGGCTACTTCCTGCTGAAAGGGAGCATTAAGGGGATGTCACGTTTTTCCCTTTCTTGCTCTCTGTCATGAAGGGTTATGAAAAACTTGTTTTGGGGACAGGAGACACCAGATTCCATCAAGAGGCCCCATATAAGTGGAAGTTGCTGTTGCAGGCTGGTATTGGGATTACATAATCATCTGTAGGTGGAATCATTATAATCTGGAAGATAGAAACTTAATGAGAGCATTAAAGAAGCAGGGACCAAATATTAGAAGAAGAATAATGAGGAATAAAGGTCCAAGGAATGGGAGAAGCCAGGTGATTTTTGGAAACCAATTAGTAAGGATTTTGGCCCAGTTTGGGTTACTTTGAGAAAGTGTGCGTAGCCATTTGGTTTGTTTGAAAATCTCTCGATTTATATTTATATTCTCCAGACATATTAATGTAGGTGCAACACATTTTGTTGATGACAGCACAGATGACTCCTTGTTCAGATAGGAGGTAATCTAGCACTCTTCTGTTATCAAAAACCATTCCTACTAGTGAGGTTAAAGACTTTTCTAGTGGTGATAGATTTGTGCTAGTTTTTGCTAAGCTATTTTGAGGGAGGCAGTAAGTTCCCGCAGTGTGATTTCATGATAAGTACAACCTCCCCAAGGGGTGAGAGTTGTGATGATTCCAACAACTCCAGCAATAAGTCCTAGGACCCTTTTTCTTCCTGAATGGGATTCTAGATTGGAAGTTATGTTTAAGACAGTGATTTGGGCAGGAGCTATTGTACCCAGAGTACAGTCATCATAATGAAGAGAATTATCAAGGTGGGATAGGGCCAAAGCTTGAAAAGGATTTAAATAATTAATAGCAGTGCCACAAAACCATAAGAATCCAGGAGGGGCAGATAATACATTTTTGAGGCTTCTTGGACTAAGAGGGCCACCACTGCTAAGGCTCTTAAGCCATCCCTGGGATACTAGGTCTAAAGTTTTTTTAAAAATATGCCATAGGGGCAGGCATGGTGGCTCACACCTGTAATCCCAGCACTTTGGGAGGCCAAGGCAGGCAGATCATGAGGTCAGGAGTTCGAGACCAGCCTGGCCAACATGGTGAAACCCTGTCTCTACTTAAAATACAAAAATTAACTGGGCGTGGTGGTACGCACCTGTAATCCCAGCTACTCAGGAGGCTGAGGCAGGAGAATCACGTGAACCTGGGAAGCAGAGGTTGCAGTGATCCAAGATCATGCCATTGCACTCCAGCCTGAACAATAGAGTGAGACTCCATCTCAAAGAAAAAAAAAGTGCTATAGGGCACTTAGAGGGCCCCCCAATCTGGGGCTAAGACTCCCAAAGCTATTCCCTTTTGTTCATGTACATACAAAAAAGGCTTAGTCACATCTGGTAGGGCTGAGGTCAGGGCTGAGATTAAAGCCTGTTTGAAAGTGTTTAGAGCATGTTTCATATCATTAGTCCAGAATAGAGGCTGTTCCTCAGTTCCCTTGAGGGCTTCATATAAAGATTTTGCTATTAACCCGAAGGAAGGAATCCATATTCTGCAAAACCAAGCCTTACCCAAAAATGACTGAAGCTGTTGTTTACCACAGTTGTCATGTTTAAGATCTTTATAAGCACTACAAAGGCTTTTTCACTGGGAATTAAAATAAGACCCCAAAATTTAACCCTTTGTGTGGATATTTGTACTTTAGAAGGAGATACTTTGTACCCACAATTAGCAAGTTTGTTTAGTACTAATACTGTATTTTGGTTTGGAATAACCTTGTTAGGACTACAGATTAGTAAGTCATCCACATACTGAAGTAGATTGCTATCTGGGAGAAGCTGCAGGGGCTCTTTTAGTGAAGTGTTAATATAGCTAGAAGGTGGGGCCTTAGCTGTAAATTAGATTGTAATTTTGTAAATCACAACCTAATGGAACAGGGCAGCTTGGCTGAAAAGGAGTAGAGGAATAGCCTTTCATTTTACAAGGGAGTGGTGGTGTGAAACAGCCTCATTGGGGTTTTCCATCAATATCCATGAGGAAAATGGAGGAGTGACACATTGGGCCATAGTAAATGTTTAAAGCTGAATAACTGTCCATTGTACCCATGAGTAATATTACCTGTTGTTCAGTCACAGTCAGATTTGCCCTGGGCTCATCCACAGAGATGGAAAAGACAGGGCCATGGATGGCTTCAAAGGCCCCATCCAGAGGATGGATGACTGACATTTCAGAGGTTTGATCATAATCCAGGCATAGAATTAGAGGTACTTGCCCTTGCCCTCACCCTCACCCTTGTTCTACAGGATCCCCTTGTTAGGTTGGTGAGATTGTGGCTGTCATAGCCTAGAAGGAAGAGGTGGCCCCCGTTCACGAGGGAGGGACACTCACTCTTCCAATTTGCAGTGAGGTCAGGGTCCCAGGGATGACTTGCAACCTGGAGGTTTGGGACATTCTCAACTTCAGTGTCCTTGATTTCTGCAGTGATGACAGGCTCCCCTTCTGTTAGTGTTATAGGGATGAGCCTTGGGGTTATTGGCTAATGAAAAAGAATGTGCCAATGTTGTCTCAGTATAATTAGCTTGGTGACAGCATTTTTCCTCCTCCAATTGAGCCTTTTTTTTTTTTTTTATGTTTCCTCCTGGTTATTGAAAACCGTAAAGGCTGCTTTTAATAAAGTACAAAAGGGAGTCTGTGGGCCTTTCTCTAATTTTTGGACTTTTTGTCTGATGTCTGGGGAAGGCTGACTTATAAAATGTATGGGCAGAAGGGATTGGCCGTCAGGGCTTTCAGGGTCTAAATTTGTATATTTATGCATAGCCTCCATCAGTCTAGCTGGAAAAGGGCTGGGTCCTTGGTCCTGAGTGATCTATCGTAATTTAGAAAAATTAACAGGTTTTATTACAGTCTTTTTCATTCCTTCCAACAAACATGTTACCATATAATCTTCTCTGCCCGTCTCTGTTTGGGCTGGCATTGGCAGCATGGTATTGCCAATTGGGTTCTGTGTTGGGGACAGCTTCTGCCCCGGCTCTATTATTAGGATTGCCAACATGAGCTTCATCTGCCCAAACTCGAGCTAAAGACCATGATTTTTCTTCGTGGGAACAGCAAATAGTTAATACCACAAATGTGTCTTGCCAGGTTAACTCAAAGGCAATAAAGCCCGAAATTCTTGAATGAACTTAGAGGGATCCTGGCTAAATGAACCCAACTTGGATTGAATTTGCCAAAGATCAGACAATGGAAAAGGGACATGAACTCAAATTGTTCCCAAATCTCCGTTTGCCACCTTGTGAAGAGGCAAAATATTTGGGGGATTTTCTGAGGACTCTGTACTAGTGGCATATGTAACTCCTGTGCGAGTATGTGAGGGTGATAAAGTATCTGGATGGTAGGGGGCAGGGGTTGATTGGGGCATGGAGCAGATGGCAAGGGGTACACAATGAGTTTTGACATGCGTGCATTATGGAGATGTATAGAAATTCTAGTTACTTTTAAATTTGAAGGGAAGAAGTCTGGTACCAGATGCTGGCTTTAGATAACAGGGAAGTCTAGTTACTTCTAAATTCCTCAGGTAAGGAGTTTCTGCCTCAGGATGGTCTGCTTAATGGCCACCAGGTGATCTTTGCTCGCAATTCTATTTGCTTGATTTCATCTGTGGCAGTTTCTGGGTGCGGGGGTGGGGGGAATCAAAGTTACAGGAACAAAATAAAACCAACAGTAAAACTTTCATGCTGACTGGAGAATGTTTAACGTTTAAAAATAGGTGTTGAATGGGCCAAAGCAAGCCGGAAAAGAAATGTTTAAAAGTTGGCTATATTTATACAAGAAAAACCAAAAGAGATAATTAAATGAGACTTTTAAAATTCGGGGCTCTCCACTGAGGCTCGTCCCCGGGGCCAGCTCCGGGAGTTCGGCAGAGGCTCGTCCCCTGCCAGGGCGCCTAGGGCAAGGGACCGCACGGCGCATGCGCGTCTTCCAGCAGCCCCTTTCCCCTTCTTCCCCAAGATCCAGCGCGTGCTCGGTAGCCCTTCTCCGTTCCCTGCGGACCTTTGCGTCAGGACCCACCACCTGCCGGCCCATCATTTTCCGAGTCCCTGCGGCCTAGTCGGAGTGCTCGCTCGCGCCTCCTAAAGCTTTCAGCGGAGGGCGCCAATACCCCTGAGGGCGGCCGGTAAGAAGGCGGAGGGGTGGGGGCCTCAAAGCTCACGGGGAAGGTGCAGCAGTCACTAGAGTGCTGACGTCAGCTAGAGGCAGGGCACCGCGGAAGGTTGAATCCACGCCCTGGCTGCGCGCAGGCGCTGTAGGGGGAAGGCCTGGCACGTTCCAGCCAACCAGGGCGTCACCTGCAGCCCGTCCCCCTTCCCAGGCTTGCCTCCAGCGCTCTGCCGCCGCCGGAGAGGGGAGGGTCCAGCTGAGAATTCGGGGTTAGGGGCTCAGAGAGCACTGCGGCTAGGAGCCCGTCAGAACCTGTCGCCCAGTGGGGCCAGGGCAGGTGGGAGCGCCTGGCCGTGCGTCGCGCGTTGGTTGGCCGGCTGACGCCCCGGTGCGCATGCGCGGCCGAACAACCCTGCGGGCGGAGCGAGTGTCCTCTCCTGGTGTACTGGGTGGGAGGTGGAACTGGTCGGACAAAGCCCTCGCGTCGGACCCTTGCCAGAACTGTAAGGAGCAAGAGGGGAGGGACTCCGGTGGTGCATTCATGCCCCTCTCAGGGTGGGAAGCGGGGTCGGAGGGGAGTGCTCAGAGCCACCTTAGCGCAGCGTGCTAACTTTTGAACTGAGGCGGTGCCGGGGGCCGCAGTATCCGCATCGCATCTACATTTTAACTCGCTTTGAAAAGACAACGTAAAGACGATTTAGGTTTTATTATTTCCGACTTATATTTTACCGAGGTCTTTGGTTTACGGGAAATTGTTACCTACTAAATCTCATATAGCAAGAGATTGAGAAAAGGAAGCTACAGAATCTAGGCTAATTTATCTGATAGCTTTTCCTGCTTTTACTCTTTTTGCCTTTTCCCCCTACTCTAAAAAGTACATATTCAACTGAAAAGCCATGAAAATTGCCGCTTTTATCCCTCCTTGATGTAACAAACTGCGTTCAGAAACCTTACAGGATAGTCACTAAAGGAAGTCACAGTTCAAATGAGAGTGGCATGATATTAATTTTGTTAAAATAAATTACTTTCAAATAAAAGTTGTGCCAAATGGTCAAAGCTCAATCCTGGGAGCTCTATTTGGCACACACTGTTATTCTTTCTGTGTTAGTTGAAAGTGATTTAAGCAAAACAAAACCGTTTTTCGTGTACTCTTCCATAATTTGGTTTTTTCACCGATTTACGTATCTTTCCTCCAAATTTGGTTTGAAACTGCACAGATTTAATGCCTCAGCACAGATTTTAGGTAAAATTTGAAATTTTCATTTTATGAAACAGAAGCTAATATCACTATTAAGTAGATTAAAGTAGTCATTTACCATGGTTTGTAAATAAATTGTATCCTTCCCGGTCCTCTGCCCCCTTCCAGGAAAGGCACCATTTCCTTAGAGAAGACCTTCCTGAGTGCTCCCCGTCCCATTCTAAGTGTAGCGTCTGGGAGTTTCTCATATTCTGTGCATGTTTGTATTATTGCATTTACTGCGTTTCTAGTTATCTGCTTGTGTCTGTTTTTACACTCCTCCCTCCCTCTAAAAGTATTTTGAGTGTTAGAATTGTCTTAATATTTTTCTAGTCCCAGTGCTTTACGCAGGACCTGGCCCATAAGTGATGATGAATGGGTGAGTTAAAGACTCAGTATGCCTTCCAAGTCTGATAAGACAGTGCAACCTCTTTAGTTATTTTATAGCATTTTCCATGTGGAAGTATAGTGGGCTAAGTGCAGTATGGACAGGAACCACCTATGTAACAATTTGTCTGAAGAGGAGAAGCCTGCAGTTGATGTGGATGCCCTAGGCTTTTGGAGCTAGTGTCTGAATGAGAGCACCCAACTCTACTCTGAAGCAATGTGTCTTCAGTCAGCTGATAGTAATTTGATTTTTTGTGTAGCTAGTCCTGAGAGAGTAAGAACATTATATGTGAATCTTCTAGTTGTCTTAGCATTCATAATCTCAAAGTAAATTTACAGATTGACATTCTAGTTATCAGGCCTTCTAATTTAGCTTTCCCAAAGTCCGCATATATCTGTTTGAAGTGATAAAATTGGGTTCTGTTCTTACAAAGTTAAAGAGTAACCCAAGATCTGGGCGTTAGGAAGAGGCAAGCAGCCATGCCTGCCAACCTGCTGGACTCTTAACATTGTCTCTACTTAGAATTTTGGTTTTTTAGTCTGAAAAGTACGTAAACCATACAGGAAACAAAGAACTAATTCAAGCAAAAACTTGAAATCCTCCTTTGATTTTTAGCATAAATTGGGTAGCTAAAAATCCAGGTTTGTATTAAATAATTATTTTTAAAGAATTAAAGCTTAAACATTAACAGATGCCCCAGAATCCTCTTTGGTGATAGAATCAGGATTCCCTAATACAGTGGTTCTCAAACCTAAGTGTGCGTCAGAATCCCTGAGAGTATGTTAAAACAGATTCCTGGATCCCACCCAGTTTCTGATTCTGCAGGACTAGGATGGGACCTGATATTTGCATTTCTCATGAATGTTGTTGCTGCTTTGAAAACCACTGCCCTAAGACTTCTTTCTCTCCTTCCTACCCTATCCCTTTCTTCTTTTCCAAAACTGGATCCTGATCTGTCACTTAGTGTTCAGAGCCCATTCTTAAATAAGAGCTTATAGGAAGTACTCAAAAGACTCATAGGACTCAGTTGTTCGTTCTTATTCTTAAACAGAACAAGAAAATATATTTTTAATTTTTTCCAATGATTTGTGTAAGAAGTCATCATCTTAGAGCAATAATTTTGTTTAATGGATAGCAGAATTATTAACTGAATATATTTTTATGTATATAGGCATTTTCCTCTAGAAATATGAATTGGCTACCATTATGGGAGAGAGGAGAGTTGCTGGAAAAAGGAAAAGTCACATTCCCTCTCATTTCTCCTCTATTGCTCTCTCATTGTTTCTCCATGCCCCAGAACGCTGTCTTCAAAAAGTCAGTATTAATTCATAAAAAGACAATTCCCACAGCACAATATAACTTTATTATACTCACTTTAGTTTTTTATTTTGAAGAGAGAAATGCTACTTCCATCAAAACTTGTGTTTTTATTGGTTAGCAAGTGCTAACTTTGTCTTCAAATGGTAAAAATAAACAACTAGCTACTTTTTAATTCTGATGAATTAAAAGTATTTTTCTAGAGAAAAATTTGTGAAATTAGATTATACATTTGTACTTTTTAAACTCTAGCCTTGGCAAAATTGTCTACTACCTTGTATTTTTTAAGACCTTCAGACATTGACTCCTTATTGTGATAATTCTGAGTTTTTCAACAAAGTTTTTCAAAATTTGTTTTCAAATAAAGTGTTGTATTTAACTGCATGTTTGAGCAATATGTTATCTGACATTAGGTGGAAAAAAGAATTATGCCATTTTTTAATATACTCTGACATAATAGTTGCAACTTTTTTTTTTTTTTTTTTTTTTTGAGACAGAGTCTTGCTCTGTCACCCAGGCTTGAGTGTAGTGGCGCGATCTCAGCTCACTGCAATCACTGCAAGCTCCACCTCCCGGGTTCTCGCCATTCTCCTGCCTCAGCCTCCCAAGTAGCTGGGACTACAGGCGCCCGCCACCACGCCCGGCTAATTTTTTTGTATTTTTAGTAGAGACGGGTTTCACCGTGTTAGCCAGGATGGTCTCGATCTCCTGACCTCGTGATCCATCCACCTCGGCCTCCCAAAGTACTGGGATTACAGCCGTGAGCCACTGTGCCGGGCCAATAGTTGCAACTTTAATGAATTTTTTACTTGCTAAATGTGGCTAAATCCCTTATGCGTATTATTTTACTTAAGCTTCACAAAAATTCTATGAAAAAGATAGCCCCTACTTTCATAAGTGATGTATCCCTCAAAACATGTACACAAAGTCAGATGTGGGATTCCACATCCAGAGCGCTTAAACATCATTATTAGGTTCTAAATTAGATTTCACCTTTTAGAAAAGTCTTATTGAATATTTCTAGCATTTTGTCTGTGTCTTTCCACCATTTTATCTTAAATGTGCTGTCCAGGTAACTTCAGTCCAATGAGCATCAGATACAGACCAAATAGCAATATAGATGTCGTTTTCTCATTTGTATTTCATTTCATATTCTTTATTACTAGTATTAGAATTGTAATTTTTCTTTTTTATAAATAAAGACAAAATTCAATAAAATATTCACTAATTTCATTGACTAATTTGTACTCCTGTCTAGCAGATTAGCATTGTGTTAGCTCAGAGTATTCTTTCGGTTAATGAAAACTTAAGATTCAGAATTAAAAGGCAGTTTGGAGTGGGGACAGAATGTTTATATATATCCACATGTTTCTGCTGTAATGCCATACTTGCATTCCTGGAAATCCTGACATGCTGCCAAACAATAAGCAAAAGTAACAGTTTGTGGAGAAAAAACACTCAAAACTGAACAAACTTCTATAAGAGCCCTAACAAAAACCCTAACCCTAATAACATACTAGTACAATTAAATCTAGTTTAGACCAGTTTTGTCAAGATTAACGTTCTAATCTAGGAGTAGGTTTATTTATCTATCCATTTTTTTTAAAGACTTAGAAATCTCTAGCTTTTTCATTTATCCTAGCACATTGCCAGATGGTTTGATAAAGTGGAAAATGTAGCCAGACATGAACCCACTAAACATCTGCTTCTTATACCAAAAAAAAGAACTACCAAGATATTTTTTTTTTCCTGAAGGTCTTTACATATCACTAAAGCCTTTTTTTTTTTTCTTCTAAATTGTAGAAAGCCTACCTCTGATCACTTCAAATCAGTAATATGTTGGGGGAAAAATGCATATATAATGTCTTTCCCCTGTTGACCAATTGCACATAAGCTGATTCACATTAAATAAACGTTTTGAGGCTGGACACAGTGGCTCAGGCTTGTCATCTCAGCACTTTGGGAGGCTGAGGAAGGAGGATCACCTGAGGTCAGGAGTTTGAGACCAGTGTGGCCAACATGGAGAAACCCCATCTCTACTAAAAATGTAAAAATTAGGTGGACGTGGTGGCAAGTGACTGTAATCCCAGCTACTCGGGAAGCTGAGGCACGAGAATCACTTGAACCTGGGAGGCAGAGGTTGCAGTAAGCCAAGATCATGCCACTGCACTACAGCGTGGGCAACAGAGCAAGACTCTGTCTCAAGAAAAAAAAAAAGAAGAAATGTTTTGGTGTTACGACAGACTTTCCTTAACCATTTGTGTTATTTAAGAGATGAGGAAACAGACTCCAGAAGGTAACGTAACTTGCCCTTGCTCACACAATCACTGAAGATGTCAAGATTTGAATACAGATCTCAAGCTCCCTGCCTTCCTTTCCAAACCATGGTGCAAACTGCCTACTTTGACAGTCCCATTAACTGTGTTTAGATCAGCACAGTCCAATAAAAATAGAATGTAAGCCTTGGATATAGTTTAAAATTTTCCAAAAACTACATGTTTTACTTTTTTAAAAAAGTAAAAGTGAAATTAATTTTAATGAATTATAATTTCAACACATAA